TTACCACTTGTATTTCTGCTGGCAGGAAGCTATTGCCTCCAGCTGCAAACTAATATAAACTCAAACTTTCTGGGTCATCAGAAATGTGACGGACAAAGCGCTCTCCGCAGTTCCTTAATCCATAAGATAACTATGTTAAAGTATTAACACGGTGTCAAAAATTGTTCGCTCCCCTTTCTTTGCGAGTTCTTCCTCCTTTTTAAACATTTCATTTCACAAACATTTCATGGCGGAAACATACAGCAGACCAAAGCTCAACATGAATGGATTTGAGATAGTAAACTTTGGAGGAAAAAACACCTAAAAGAATTGGGAATCCGCAGTGGTATAAAGGACTTTGCTGATGGGGTAGTTATTTTGCTGCGTTCATAAAGCAGCATCTTGCAATATAGGTCTTGTAATATTCAGCTATATACATAGAAGTGCCACAGCAAAAGTAGGAAGGCAACAGCGTCCCATTATAGCTTGCTTTAGATATTTAAAACTAGTCCAGGAAAAAAAAAACACAAACATACAGCAGGCTGTAGGACTGAATTTGCACTAGAATAGAGTATTGGACCTAAGAGATCACTTCTCTCCCTCACTTCACCCATTTTCGTAACGCAAGGGAACTCACTTTCTCATTTTCTCCCAGGTTAAAATCATACCAATTACCTTCCATTCTATTGGGCAGTGTGTCTGTCTCATGCATTTAACAAGGTTTCTTCTGATTTGTCACATTTAATGGCTGACAGCTATGCAAGAACTCGTTACTTTGGGGATCCTGGTGAGAAAGACTGTTGTTCTGAAGCATTATTCTGGCTGTTTATACAAATTTCACACAGGAAAGTTGTAGTAAGCTGATAAACACCATCTTATACATTACAAAGGGTCTGATCAAGAGAAATATATATCTTTTCATTCTACATACATCTGCTTACACAAAAGGTGGAAGCAGTCAAAAAGTTAACACTTCCCATGTTTATTTACACCTGTATTCTTGTGTACACAAATGGTGGAAGTCATTTTTCAAAAACCAGCATTTCTCAGCTGGTTACCTCATTTATTTCCTCTTTTCAGCAAAACTGTGAAACCATGAGCAGTGTCCTATTTCACTTTTTAATTACTTCCAGTAAAAGTGATTGTTTCATGGCTACCACTTCAACACCAAGCCCAGACAAGGCTCAATATCATTCTTATCCTGGTTCTGTGGTATACCACAGAGAGACCTTAGATGGTGATGGACAAAGCCTTGAGTACATACTACTTCCTATCGAAACTTCAGGAGGACGTTGTTATTAGAAATTAGGATGGTATGTGATGGAGTCCAAAGCTGAAACACTTAATTTGCTGGTGTCAGTTGGTGCAAGGTCCTCACCAACCTTTACGTATCCCCACCTCCCCCAACCCTTTAGCACTGGTTGGTATCTTCTCTCTCCTGCTCCCCACTGTGCCATCTCCCCTTCAACAACAGACAACGTGGATTACACTTACAAAGAAAAAAATTATCTCAGGCTTTCTTCAGCAGCCAGCCTAAGGGGTGCTTCACCCTCTGGACCCACGCGGCTTTCATTTAAGAGCCTGACTGGAATTAGTGACAGTGCCAGTTTCTCTGTGGAAAATCCTGTCTCTGTGGATAATTTTCTTACAGGTTACAGCAGGAGGCCTCCGAATAAAGCAGTGACTTCTCGCTGTTTGCACCTTGATATCTGCAAGAGCAGTCCCACCAATTCCAGGCATGGGAAAGCGAGTGCAGCAGCAACGGCAAGGTGCAAAGGGATGGTGCAGCCTGGGTTTTGTACCTTGTCCAGCCCGTGAGACAGCATGCAGCCTCTCATCTTTCTCTTTTTTTTTTATTCCAATTGCACGCTGGGAAGATGAAGACACAAATGAATCTTAGGAAGTAGCTTATGTTTGTATACTGACCCTTAGATCAAAAAGGCCACATAAGAACAGGGTAATTGCAATTAAATGTAGCCCAGGGTCGCAGGATACGTAGGGGGTAAGTTTTAACCTTAGTGCTTTTGGTAAAAACCAGACTCACTCATCGACATTCTTCCCATCCACACTCCCTTCCTGGAGAGTCAATAAACTCAGCTGTGGTTATTCAAGTGCACTGTAAAATAGCTGCTACAGCCCGGTGCAGCAGAAGCTATACCACTCTGGGCATGAAGCAATCCCCACGGAACCTTTCCTTTCCCTGAGAGCAACGTTGCAAAGCAAATTTTATGTTTGCAAAATGCTTGGAGATGTTTGAAACAAATATGTTAAAGATTTGCAAGCCATTTACCTGGAGCCATTAGTTATAAAAGCCTGGGCTTATTACTAAAGCCTTCCAAATAAAAGCTGGAAACAAGATCGGTTTTAATTGCAAGGAGCACGAAACCGAGCTCAGTGCAACCATCCCCTTCTTAACCTCGCACCTAGAAATTCAGCCCTTATACAAAGAAAGACCTGATTATTTTCAGGGGCTAAGTGCTGGCATGTTGCTAGGAGAAAAAAAAAAACAAACAAAACAAAACACTGTTATAAATGGTTAAAAAATGAGGCTTCATGCAGAAAACACAAGCAGAGTTTTCTCTGATGAGCAGCATGCATCACTAGCATGGCAAACGTATTCATGGTAGTCCTGGAACTGAAAATGTCTAGGTTGTGCTCTGACTCACCGTGTTTTTGCAGAAGCAAGGATTACCACTATCTGCTCACATAAATTCGTCATGGTGGGTCTGTTCCAGCCTGAACCTCTGCTCCTCCAGACTGAGGTTTAAGGAAATTACTTACCTGCTTCATCACTTGAATTAGGAAGCTGGAGAGACAATGTAGTGTGATAGCTGCCAGACCGCATATCATCATCTTTCTTTGTTGTTACTCTGTTATTAGGTCCTCTGAGAATATCCACAAATGCTGGAAGTTCAGAGACAAAGACAATTTGCAAAGGGTATTTACTACCCAGATAACCTTCATTTGTTTTCTCTTTATTAATTACATTATTTTCTGTTAAGTCTGCACTCAAGTTTGATCTGAGTAGAGTCTTGTTTTCTCCTAGGAGCTTTGTTTGAAGTATCTCTTCTACTGGCTCTCCATTAGCTATGCCATCTACTCCATCTGCTGTTAATCTAGACGAACTGCAATTTATATTGAAGGACAACGCCGATCTATGAATTTTTTGGCATTTAATTCGAGGTTGGTCAATGCGCACGTTGAGCGACTTGTCTAAATAATAGATGGTGTTTGGACACTGCTGAGAAACTTGAAGGTGGACACACGAGGTGAACAAAGGTGGTACTTTCTCTTTCCCATCACTACTTTGAAGACTCGCATCGTTCTCCTTGTTTCCAGGGTCAAAGAGCCGCTTTCGTGGCTCTTCACCTAACTGTGAGCAAAATTCAGAAATCTTCAATGGAGCTGCGTGATGGTTAGAGTGGCCTGGTGGAGGCCAGCGATGGAGGGCAGCAGGAACTTTGCTCGAGGTGGGTGACACACCATTGGGCTCCTGCACAGCCCCAGGTCCATGTGCTGGGTTGCTGGAGTCCACAACGACACGCCTGGCAGTAATAGTTATGGAGGCAAACCCTTTCTGCTGGTTTTGACACTGTTTTTCCGCTGCGATGGGAGAGTCCAACGGAGACGTGGTGTCGTCTAAAGATGCCTGAATTTCTAATCTGCTAGGAAGTACCATAAATGCTCTGTTGATGTTGACTGAACCAGGGTTAGCCAAAGATTGCATCGTGCGATAAGCACTGGGCTGGGGGATCATGGACTGCATAGGTAAAGCGGGCCAATCTTCTTTTGATTTATTCTCATCAATCATCTGTGAAATGACTATCGGTGAAATCAATGTTATATTTTGTGATGACAGAGATTCCTGCGAATGAAAAGATTCAAATTATCAAGATATTCTATCATAATATACGTAACTGTTTCTCATCTACCATCTATCACACCAGACAGTTTTGTTCGAGGTTTCTTGTTAACTTTCTATTCATACTAACTCTTTTGTCATTTAAAAACACACGCTCTTGAAATCAGCTCTGAATTGTCTGGGAGACTTCAATGAAAACCTTATCATGCTGGAGCAGAAAAAAAATATTAAAATTTAAAATGTGTCTATACTATTATTTTCAGTATTTAACCCATCATCACGGTTGAGATTTGTGGCTGCTATGCTTGTTTAAAAATGGACATGTCAAAGGCAGTTGCCAGTTTCAGACTCTAAACAGCTCTTTCATGATGGCCTGCTGGAATATAAAATGCATTTAAATATATAATGGATCATTAGCCTGAAGGCCCATGTGTGCCATCACATGCTGCAGAAGACATGTAGGCACCAGGGTCACGACTGCTCTATAACCTCACCAGTTACAAGCCTGGAAAAACTTCTCCATGGTCCCTGCCACCAAAGTGATATAATTACCTATAAGGGCTCTGGGTACCATTTAAATTCATTAGTTCCCTCTTGCTTATGATTACTTGGTGGCACCTATCAATTATGTAAAACCACCTATGTCCAAGACTGATTGACAGTGGCCCCGGATTCATTCTTCCAACCATGACAGTAAACATCTGTCTTGATAGATCATACATTTCTTCACTCGGTGTGACAAAGGGGGTGCTTTTACGTTAAAGCTATCTGACAAAGAGTAAACCTGAGTTTAAAATCTCCTGCTATTATTATCCACACGGCTGATCACATAAGTCACATGCAATAAAGCATCTGGCCTAGTCTCATTGCTGCTGTAAATTGACTGATTGGATTGGTCTTGCCCTGTGTTCCTAGATCTCTCAATCCTAATAGAAAAAAAACCACTGAATTGGCATGCAAAGTCTGCAGATTAGGTTCATAATGAAAGCCCATCAAACCCCTAGCATTCTGTGACTCTGTTGAGGTGCCATTTGCTATCTGTACTGCTCCTGCTTGTTACGAATTCATCTCAGTTGTATCTGGGCGTCCATCATCTGATAATCAATGCCAGTACTTGACAAGTGCTTCACAAAGCATAATATTCTTCTTCCTCAAGGAAGACTATGTGAGTGACAGAGTTGTGACCTCCCGCTTGCCATGGTCACCCTTCTCAGGGCTTGGGTGCCAGAGTCAGGACACTGCACTGAAGCCCATGGGAAAAACCATTCCTGGGCACCTGTCCTCCGTGATGGAAAGAACACAAGAAATGGGCTCCTTTGTAACTCTTGGGAAGGCTGATTTGGGAACCCAAATAGGTAGAGGTACATCAAAGAGTGTATTAAGAGGTGAAATGTCAAGTAAATTTTATCAACTCTTTGAACCAGCTGCCTGTGGTTTTGACAATTCAATAATTTCACGGCCCCAGGGAAAGCATTTTCTTCCTTTTTTTGTTTCTTCCATGGTTTGTAACAACATTCGCCTCATATTTTCTGCACTACATTTACTTCTACCTGCAGGTTTAAGACCTTTGTATGCTTTCCAAAACTCTTGATTTCCCCGAGATTTCTACAGGGCACCAAACAAGAATGTTCCTTGAAATACTTTATTTTGGATACATCTCTCATGCTCCTGTAGTTAATCTGACATTTATGTCTTTTGTTAAGGGCTGCACAGATGGAGGCATCCTGCAAGAGTCCAAAGGCATGTCAAAAATGTTCCTGATTAGCTTCAAACTCCTGCACCAATATTTTAAATCATTTACTTTTCCTTTTTCTGCTTGAATATATGTATTATTCCCTCCTCCCAATCTTGGGAAAAAAAATGGATCTTTAAGGTTTGACCAGCTGATCCTACGCTCATTGGGAGCTTTCAAGCTTCACTGCATCTTGTGAAAAAAATACACACTTACACAAAGTAATGGTGGTGAACTGAAAAACTCAGCTTTATCTTGAGAACATCTGAGACAGAGTGTACCGATACTTGGGATACCACTTGATTTAGTCTCTTGGGTTGTTTTTAACAACTATTTTTCAGCCACAAAACACGCAATCTTTTCCCCCCTCACCAAGAGCAAGCAGAATCACATTTAGCCACCATTTTATTTGGCTTTTCTGCTGCCTAAGCTAAGCCTAGCTAAACAAAACCAAGCCCAAATACACCGCTCAGCAATCGGCGATTGTTTTTCAAACCTGAATGCATTCTGCTGACCGCGATCTAAACATAATTTATTTATTTTACCTTGGTAGAGCTTGATTTTCTCTCCGCAGCACTCTCCCACTGAAGGCCTGTGCATGTCCTCTGACCATCAGTGCCCCATTGCTTTTGCGTCACTTCTGGGGGAAAAATGTAGAGAAAATAACATTGTTTTCAGTGTCCTAGAGGAGATGAGTTAGAAAATGTGGGTTTAAATGCAATGCAAACTGGAGCAAAAGAGCTACTGTAAACGATCGGATTGCCCTGGGATCTGGTTATCGGAGGGGTCCTATTTCTTCCTCTTCCCAGGAGAGGCACTTGAAACACCCCCGGGATCCTGTTGCAGAGATGTGTCTGTGGACAGTCTCACAACATGTTCAGGGCTGATCCAGAGCTTGAATATCTCTGCTTTTGATTCCCGTGGCTTCAGGCATCAGCGTGGAGGAATTGGGGAAGATGAGAAACGTGGATTTCAACAAATGTCACTTTTGCGTAGTCTGCAGAACTGGGAGCACAAATGAGCACATTGATGGGCTGGATACTGTGAGTTTGATTTCATTTGAACTAAGTCACTGTCCCATTTAAAGAACTACAGTAATTTTAAATCGTGTTCACATATTACATCATAACTTTTCTAGTTCAGTGATAACTATTACATCGGTACATCAGTCTGTGATTTTGTCATCTTTTCCATGAGCACTAGCCTGTCTGCAGCTTTTTACACAGAGCTAATTTCCATATTACATGGAGTCTGGGCTGTTGCAACGATGCGTACACCTGCTGTCAGCAGTTTTGCCAGAAATTACGTTACTTTCTATTTTGTAATAAGCATCGAAAATTAATTTTCAAAAATTATTTGTTTGGACTAAAATCTCTTGACATGGCTGGCTGTTGCTTTATATCAACAAGTCACACCACCAGTAAGACCTTTTGTACTTTTCTTTTTTCCTCTTTCATTTAGGCAGCCTGCCACGAAAGGTGATAATTTTTTACTAAGCAGAATTTCAGTTTACATGTAACTTTATATTAACAGAGGAATACAAATCAGCGCCACTTTAGGAAGTGTTCATTAAAGCATATCTGCCATAGCAGGCTTCATCTCCTTGGGCGCAGCTAAGAAGTAGAAAAGGAAGAGGGGGAAGGCATCAGGTTTATCCCCCATCGAGAGATCTCTTTGAATCCCACCACGGAACAGCAATCACAAAGCACTAACAGGACGTTTGATGGACCTTCTGCTTTAATAAAGTATGCTAAAGTATACTTTAATGGCACAGCTCCAAGATGCCAGTGCCGCTGTGTATATTCATACTGGCATGAACAAAAGAGGTTTGCTTTTGTCATTGAGCAACAGAAAGTCCTGAGCAACAGAGAAAACAGCTGGACTCATTAGCCACAGTATGGGAAAAAAAAAGAGAATCCAGAAAATAGCCGGAGCTGAGGGCCCACTACACATTTTTTTGGCAAAGCAATAATGCACAGTTGCAATCAGCGAAAATGCAGTGAACCTGATCTAGCACTGGATCATGGTAACTGCTGGCACAAAACACGGGCGAGACTCCTTTGGAGCCTGCTCCTCACCCTGTTGTGGTACACAGTGAGAAGGAGGTGCTGAGCTTTCAGTGAAGGACAAACCCCACCTGCATCCACAAGCAGTGGGATAGGGGTAACTGCGGGGGGAGCCTAATGGAAAGGTTATTTTCAGTGTATCAGTACTCTGATGAATTACATGCAAATACTGTCACGATGGAGAGCTGCTACATATGCTGTCTTATTTACTTTTTAAAATAACTAAGTGGGGAATAACTTGCAGAGAAGGATGAAGAAGAAAATCTTGTATTGAGTTAAGGCAAGGCTTCAAAAAATCCTAAAGTTTTTTTTTTTTGAAAAAAAAAGTATGTAATTAAAGTGAGAACTTCAACTAAGATATCAATATTTTCCTCAAATGCTTCAGTAAGAAACACAGTTGTCTCAGATTGAGCTGGAAAGCTACAACAGCAGAACATCAACTTGTGAATGTCAACCAGTGCACAAGGAAATCCAGAAGGCTGGCTGGAGATAAATCAGATCCAGACAGGCATGTTTTTCCAGATGGCCTTTCACGAATTTCATTCAAATGTACTTTCAGCACAAGAGAACCACTGAGTACTACAGGGTCAAACAAGAACAAGTTGTCAAAGTCCACACTGTAGATTACATAGAACATGTAAGTTATTCTTATCAAAGTAACCTGTGATCAGCAACAATCTGTAGGTAGTACCTTCCAATTTCCCACAGATCCTTTGAAATAGATTGGTTAATTCTTGCTTGTCTAACTTTAAAAAGTAGCTGTTTCTGGAGCAGGAGAGATAGGAAGAAGCGAGGTGAGAAGAAGAAGAAGAGAATAAATATTTATTTTCTTTGCTAGATCATCTAAAGTGGAGTTTTGCATTGCATTTTGTACCATATCGTGTGCAATGACATTCTCATATTGCTATGGGAATCCTATTGTTGGAAAACACTCAAATTTTGCCAAGTATTTAATCTAGTTGCTGACATAGATTAAATAGCATTGGTGGCAAAATCTTCAGTATTTTTCATGATATTATTAAATCTGTTCTTAGAAGCTTCATATTTGTTAATTCATGTCAACAGAACAATCAAAAAAGAAAACCAAACCCACAAAAAAACAAACCCCAAACCTGTAAAAAGAGCTTGAATCTGTGTTTGAAGTAAAGACACTTCAGGGAGCACAAGGGTTTACCCGAGATGTGTCACGTACAGAGTCTTCATACAAATTCTCATTGCTGACAAAACACATTGCACTGTAACTCTTGTTACACAACAAAATGCAAAGTTCAGTTTTTCCCTGGTGCGAAAGCATGAAAGAAATGGCATTTCAAGTTCTTTCCATCTCTGTGGGGAGTACGAGAAACTTATTTCTATCCGAGCTGAAATCCCAAGGATTTGTTTAACCTTCCCAGACCTTCCCTTCCCACCATGACCTACCTCTAGCTTACAAACAGGAGATGCGATGAGGAATAGAGGAGCAATTGCTGGCATATGAACTTTGTCCTATTATATCTTCACTTTTTTTTTTTTAATTTTTTTCCTCACAAATACTGTTTGTTGAACCAAATGATACGCTCCTTGGCAAGGCATCTGGACATCCGGCTGCAGACCAGGGTTTTCCTAATTACGGAGTGCAGCTGGAACCGATTCTCCCAGTCTCGAGTGCCTGGATGTCTGCCTCGGGCCAACTGGCAGCCGGCTCAGATAATGATTCAGAAAAGATGTGCTTGTAAATCAGCTTGCTAAAACACAGATAGATTGCAAAGGTGAGGGTGCTGGTGAAAAATAGTGTACTGCAAATATTTGGCACGCACAGGACAGCCCAGTTTGTAGCCAGCTGAGGTTTTGTACAAAACTTGAGACGCACACGAAAACAGTCCATGGATAATGTTATTCTGCCAGTGTTTCAGGTCTTTGCTGGACATATACAGACTGCCACTCTGGGAGGGTTGTTTGATGACATCCAGAGTGGCGATGGGCAGAGCTGGAATAACTGCAGACCACTGGCCCTGGCCTCATCTCGAGTTTTTGTCATGAAAGTTGCATATTTCGTTCATTTACTATTCATATGCTGACAAATTTCAAATGCATGTCAGCACTTCTCATCTCCTCCACTCTGCTCCAAGCCCTGCTTACTCCGCACTGTTCAGGTCTGCCATCCCCTCCGAGCCACCAGTGTCACCTCAAAATGAACTCCTCTGCAGGCTCCAGGAACCTCCAGCACTTCCCTCAAAGCACCACAGAACAGCACTGCAGAACAAATACACCAGTATGAAAAGGGGAAAACTTCTCCAGTTTACCAAAAAATTCTGGGGTTTGTTGCTCCTTAGCCCAATATTTAATAGACCTGTGAGGGGAGCTGGGCTCTCTCCCAGGTCCATGGCAGCCAGGGTTCCTACAGCCCCCAGGTCAGCACCGTTGATTACCCAAAAAATGCTCAAATTCCCCACTTGGGACCTGGGAGCTAAAGGACATCAAAGGCTTGGCTGCAGGGTCAGGCATGAGAGCGATCACTCAGGTAATACAACGTCTTTGGCATCAATTAAAACTTTTTTTTAAACCTTTTTCTCCTTCTATGCATTATTCCTACTGTAAGGTATCAGTAGATAAACCACGCCATTAAAATCCGCTTGGAGGAATTTATCTATACTTTATTCTGTTTAAAACATTGGATTTGTTTAAAATTTCTTGTGACTTTTTTAATTCAAATACCTGAGGAAGCCTTGAGGAAAAGAGTGTCATCATTAAAGATTCACCACGGTCCCTCTCAGTAAGGGCTGGGAGAGATCATAATTCACTTCTTCAGATCTGAAGTGAGTCATCCAGAAAAACCATCCGGACATTACAGATATATCTAAGATGAAAGCCAAGTCAGAATGAACACTAGAACCAAATCCACATCTTCTGGTCTTCTTCATGTGTCATAAAGAAGGAATATCATAAAATTGCAGAGATTATTATAATCTAAAATAAAACAGAACAATGAAGCTAAAGTTCATATGCTCGATACTAAAAGGGGAGACAGACGAATGCTAAAAATCCCACCTTATACCAAAGTCCCTGCTGTTATTAAATTATTTATAGGGAATCTACTGGTGAATGTTGTGTCTACTTGTCAGTGGAGAGACTGATGCATCTCCAGAAAGCCTTGGCACAGGCACAGCCTTGCCATCCTTCAAGGACGTTATCCTCAGCCTTCAGAAGCGATGTTAAGTTCAAGAAGAGGTGAGGTGTTGCGTTGATGATGGTCCAAAGGCAGCACCCCAGCGAAGATGGGGTGCAGGAAGAGCAGCAAGGCAGCCCCATAGCCACATATGGATTTTACTCTTACAGTCTCATAAAAATACACCTGATTTGTGGATTTTACTCTCTTACAGTCTCATAAAAATACACCTGATTTTCATCTCCGCAGGATTTGACATTTGGCAACCTTCAGGTAAGACTAGACAGGAGTTTTCACTAAGGTACTTAAGGAGAACACAGTGTCATCCTGATAGTCGAACACAGGTAGAAAACACACTGTACTTACCCATCAAGAGATGATGACAGAGGGAGAGTACATCAGTCCTGTTAAAGCATCTTTGCTGAACTTCTTATAAGAAGTAGCATGCCCCTACTTACAGTGGGTCAAACAGCAATATAGATTTAAAGGAGGAGAAAGCAGCTGCCAACTCTTTACTTGAAATCTTTCATGTCATGAAAAAAGCTAAACCAATACAAACAAGTACTTTGCCACAAAAGAAAGTACTTGAACACGCTTGCACAAAGATAACAGCATTTTAAGGCAGCTTTGTCGGGAAGATTTTCAAATCAGAGTAAGCAAAACAGCCTGAAATCATTTCAGTCTGAACAGGATTCATTATGTAAACAAAACAGAAAAATATTTTTTTAAGATGTCAGGATGGATTTTCTTCTATTACAAGTAGCATCATGAGATTTGTTAACTGAATTATCTTTCCCTGCTTGCACACCTTGAAGCTGTAGCTGGCTGCCTGCAGAGATGATTACACGATCCGCCATGGAACGGACAAATGAGTTCTGGTCCGCTATCAAAAAGCCAGAAGTCATAAATCTCTCATTATCCGTGCCATTAGCAGCAAGGTGCTCATCAGGAGGCTAGAAAGAGCACAGGAATTATATCTTGAAACCCATGCATAAGAGAAAAAATATTGTGTTTTCATTATGTATTGGTATTATTCCTTATCTTCACTTAATAAAATAAAGTGAGGAATCACCCTTGGCATATCAATCACATGTACAGAGACAAAATTAAATAGATTCTTCATTTTCTCCTTTTCCCCTTTTCTCCTCCTCCTCCAAATTTTATTTCTTCCTTTTTTTTTTAATTTTTTTTGCCTTTTTTAAAATTTCCAGTGATGTAGGGAGGAACACAGTCCTAGGTTTCTCTAGGCAGCATAAGCTTACACTAACAAATCTCAGCTATTAGAAGCAGTGACAAACTCACCAAACCTGTCCAAGACCAGCTGTGTGGACATAACTCAGGTCAAGGACTCAAATGGGAGTACACGAGAAGATTTAACTGACGTAGGTTTGATTTCTTCAGTCTAAATAACATGGTCTGTCACTGGAGCTCCCTGCTGGAGCTCTTCTGAGATCTTCATGAAATGTAGTAGGAGGCGAATGGGAAGCTCAAAACCAGGGTATGACAGGGATGATATCTGTAAGGCATGGAGTGGATCATGAGGGATAATAGTGTTCAGTAGCCAAATCATTCTCTTTCATATATCCTCAGAAGTTTCATTGTAGAGAAGGAAGAGATGCCATACAGGTCACAGGCTCCTAATCCTGTGGCAGCGAGTGAAAGAACGGGAGACAAGGAGCAAGCCTTCAAGCTCCCCAACACTGATGAGCCACGCAATGGAGGTCTCGAAGCTTCGTGGTTCCCGCCCACTTTGGTGGGACAGGATTTCACCCATCTCCACATTGCTAAAAGCGATGCGTTATTGCCCGTATATTTCAGTCTGATTCTGAGAGATAGATACTTTTGTATAATTTGGACACATTTCCTTAAGAGGATTTTGCAAAGCAGCGAGAGATTGTGCATGAGCAGCAGAAATCCCAAACTCTCCTTGGAGAAGAGACGTTGTACTTAGGGACATGGTTTAGTGGTGTTGATAGAGCTAGGACAAAGGTTGGACTCAATGATCTTGAAGTTCTCTTCCAACCAAAACTGTTCTTTGATTCTAAGAGGACTCCCCTCTCAGTGATCCTGGCAAATTCTGATTTCTGTGTGAGGTTCTCTATTCTCACACCAAGGTAAGGGGCAGCACAAGGGAGAAGACACCTTTGGTTTCTTGTCAAAATTCCTGTTTCACGGCCATCTCATTCTTCTGGAAACCAGCTGATACCAAAAAGTTATTTGGGATTCTTTAAACAAGTCCTCTTGTGGGGTCTCAGCAGCTCTAGGAGCAGCACCTGCAGAGGAATCACCAGGAGGAGTTTTGTCCTCGAGGTGACGTTTGCGACCATCTGGGAAAAGGCAGATTGATGGTGACCAAAGATGTAGATGAAGGGCTGACAGGCTCTGAAAGTCTGGCACTGGCATGGCACAGGAGGCAGGAAAGGAGAAAAGCCAGGAGCAAGGCGGTCGCTGGAGGCTGTTGCACATAAGGAATATGTAGCACTGACTTTTGGGTTAGACAAACTTGAATAAAATGTTTAAATATCAACACTAGACGTGCCAGAACTTTCTACAGAAAAGAAGGTAGACAGGAGATTGAGACAAAGAAAAGAGGTGAGTTCAATCAACATCAACATTTATATTTTTCAGGTTCCACTTATCTCAAAGTTTAAGGCATTCTGAATGCTGTTCCTGGTTCAGATCCTGTTGTAACATTGTTGGGCTTATTGACCACCGAGCACCTAAGGTACTCCTAAAATAAAGATGTACCTGAAACATTTCATACAGAAAGAGCCATTGGAAGGGATCCTCCACCACTCTCAGAGACCCCTTCACAGCACGTTATTAAGACATCCGCATTTTAGTGACCACGTCTGTTCCTGAAAGTACGAGACTGTTGGAGATAGCCAGAAAATTCTTAAGTGGCTGTAAACATGACAAATACTGTGCATAAGCAAATAAAGAAAAAGCAGTGCTGCGGCCAAAAATTGTATTTATGAAGAGTTATTTTAGTGTTATTATGTGTATTCATGTAAAGGTCATAACATGCACAGAATTTGACAGCACAAATGGG